AGTATTTAAACCCCTTTTGCCTGCTCTCAGTAAAATTTCATTAGTATTTGAATCAAAAACTGTTTCTAGAAGCAAGATTTATCCAGTGGCAATATTTATGACTAATACTGTTAGAAGTCTTGAAATAATAAACACATTTGAATAAATTGCTACACAGTACATTCAACAAAAAGAAAAAATTGCAAATTTTGCCAAAAAATAAGCACAACAAATTCTTCAACTCCTTTCATAGTAATCTTGGAATTCACTCTTTCCAGGTACATAAAGTGACTGTATCAATCAATGCACATTAGATTTGTACTGCAGTAACATTAAAGTGCTAGCTGTGCCAGCAACTGAACAAACCATGGTGTAAAAATGGTTCCTGCATTGAAAAATTTGAAATCTAAGGACTGGACACATTTACGTAATTGTAAATTTACTTTTTTTTCCCCCACACGTGAATTTCATCAAGGCCTGGAGCAGATTGAAAGCAACTTCCCTGGGGTACCTGCTTGTCTGTCGGTGCTGTTAGTGTACTTAAACACTATCTGGCAAAGGGGAACATGTAACAGCTATCCCCCGCTAGCTACAGACATCAGCCAGTTTTTAATGCCAGTTTAAGTTATATCCCAATTTTTCCCAGGATAATTCTACACTGCTTTCCAAGTAAATTATGCAATTTTAGGATTGCAAATCATGTGTCTATTCCCTACGCACAAAGAACACTGTTAAAAATATAACATGACAAAAAGCAAAGGAAAGCAGCCTCCCTACACAAAGGGGTAAAAACATTTCACTCCAGGGTCCTGACAAAAAGCTAATTTATTATAAACTGGCTGCATCTACACAAAATGCTGACTGCACGGTGCCCAAGACTACTGCGCAGTAGTGTCACGTGGCAGAAACTGTGATGCAACGTTATTGCACAGTAGTCTCAGGCTACTGCAGTCAGTATAAAAAAAAAGCCAGTGCTACTGTCCAGTTACTTGGGGTACTGTACAGTCACTTAGTACTTGTTTATACAAGTACTAAATGACTGCACAGTAACGAATGTGCAGTCAGCATCTTGTGTAGATGCGGCCACTGGAAAGAAAACAGGTCAAAAAGCATTATATAGAATGAAGCACTAATTTTTCCTCCTGGTGAATCTGACATTGCATAGCACTGAACATGCTATCTTTAAAATATTAGCGCAAATACTGAAACTGAACGCATTAAATAGCATACAATGAGAAACAGAAGTTGTGTCAGCAGTTCTACTAACCTGTCTTCACTAAAGCGTCGACCAATCAAAACTTTACACTTGTCTTGGGGCAGGCAAGCTGCTAGAAGAGGTACTGTCCGCAACACTCTACTTTCCTTTAATCAGAGAAGAAAACTGTTTCAGAAAAAAATGCAAACACAAAGTTTTTTTAAACCCATAAGATGCTTCCAAACACATATATCGTACAGGCTCTGAGTGACAGAAAACATCTACAACAGAAAAAACTATCCAAATACCAATTTTAAATGTGGTCTTTACCAAGTAGCACCCACATGTAATAGTTGCTTTCAGAAAATAAACTTCTCTATATAAACTAGGACTGCACTGCTTTTATGAACATGCTCAGACCTGGAAGGATTTACTTACAGACAGAAGTTTTACATATTTTGGCAGAATGGGGACTTCCACCCTAACACTGCCAAACTATTTAGCTTGACCCTAAGGCCATGAACAGGTATTACATGAGTGCCAGGATAACAGTCTCTCTCCCAGGACAAAAAAAGAGAGCATATAGCTGTTGGAGGGATTTCTTGTGGAAGAGAACTAGCTCCAGGTCAGCCCAGAGCAGAGCAGGGGTAGGCAGGCTCCTGTGCTGCAGTTGCAAGGCTCTAAGTGCCTTGCTGCTTCCAGACAATACGCCTGCCTCCTCCTGCACTGTCCTGGGTAGGCCCAGAAGAGCATCTGGGGAGGCAGACTGCGACTGCTTTGCAACAAAAGCCTTGCTACTGTGGGAGAATTCCACCTCTTCTCTTCACATTTCTCCAAGTCAGCCCAGAGGAGGGCACAGAGGGAGGGCTATTCTCTCTCACGCTGCGAACCAGAAAGTTTCCTGCACCAGGAGAATGACTCTCCCCACCCTGCCGATCAGCTGGAACCCGTCTGATGGGGCAGGGGGGCATCCTCCCAAGGTAGGAAGACTCCCAGGGCTGTCTGTGGCATCTTCTGCTTTTCAGCAGCTGACAAATGCCAGCCTGCCCTGCAGGCCTGGGAGAGGGCAGGCTGTCAATTAATGGGCTTCTCTAAGGGCAGGGAGAACTTTCTTCTGTACCTTTCCAGCCAGAGTGAGGGCACACATGTATGCTCCAGCTCATGGGTTATTTTTCTACTGGTTAAGAATATCAGAGAGTCTTACTGCTAGAAATGAATGCCTGTCCATGGCTTAAGACTTGTTCAATTTCTTTTAGACAGAAGATAACACTTCCTTCAATTTTTAACGGGTATTGGGGAAAAAAAAGGAAAGCACAGTTTAACTTCAGAGTGGAAAATTATTTAGTGAAGAGATTCATTGTGAAGTCTAACTTCAGAAAACTCCTTTTTTTTTTAAACAGACATGAAATTATTCCTCTCTCACTCTCCAAGATACCCCTCTCAATGGATTTTCACCCTAGGCATTCAACCTACTCCTTGCTCCTATCCAAGTTAATGAAAAACTACTATTAGCTTCAGTGATACAGGGGCTTAAAAAGCTCTAGAACCATAACATAAAGGGTAACACAAAATGAGAACTACAACACTGAGTAAGAAGCTGACTTGCTCAGTGAATTTAATAATGCAAATTATTATATATTTTAATACACACAGGGGCACTGACTGGGGAGAGTCAGGGAGCAGGAGAGCAGGAAGGATTCCAAACTGTACAGCCACCTAGTACAAGGTGGTGTACAGACATATAAATTAGTACAAAATTAAAAAATGTTTCCATCACCTACAAGGACACCTGACTTTGATATAGAGGCTTATTTAAAATGATTTTTTTCTTTTAGAGATCAAGAACTCTGAACTCTTAAGACTATTTCACTGAATAGTAATTCATATTACTATTAATTTGTCAGGCATGATCGACATAAGTACTAACTGAAACAGAGATGGTATGTGAGAAAGAGGGATTTAGTTTTGTCTTTACCTGTAGTCATTTTGCAAAATTTGCCAGATTATATACCACGATCCAAACAAACAAACAAAAACTCCAGCACTTAACCAGCAAACAAAAAAAAAATCATCTTGATATTCTGGAATATTACAATGAGTAACCATTTGCTGAGAGTATGTCAGCATGGATTCAATTTTATGCGACAGAAGACTGCAAGACTGAGCAATACCAGCCACCTGTCACGCAGAAATTGTTGTACAATTCCTTCAAACTCTGCATGCAACTCAGTTCCCAAATTTAAGAAGTAGTGTTTAAGTTTCAGGGTTTACTCCACATAGCCACTTCACAGATTTCTGACAATGGCACAGTCTTGAAGTTCAGGGTATCACTTGCGTTGTTTGTAGCAGACTAATAATACTCAGTACAGTAGAAGTATAGCCACCTGGTAATGGTATTACAATATGTTTTGTTGTCCATTTTAGTATTCTCTCTGGTAATGTGACTGAACTTCAGAACATCCAGCTAGAACCATCACGTTCCAGGACACTTCTGAATTACCAAGCCTTGAGGTACCTTGAATACCACCAGGTGTGAAAACAAAAGCTTCTCCTCTCTAATAGGTATGCTCTTGCCACTCTAGAGTGGATAGAATACACAGGAGCTCTTGAACATTTGTGAGACCATCTGTGATAGGTAAGATATGAACTTTTGCATAATTTGCCAGAGTGAATGAGAGGGCATTTTCTTTTCAAAAGCCAATTGCCCAGGTATGTTCAGGCAAGGACATTCTCTCCCTTTACAGGTCTGCCATCAGTGAGGTATATCATGGTAAACAGTGGTGTCTGAAGAACTCAAGTGGCAGTCTCTGGGGTCTTCTTCCTCAGCAATAACTTGAAGCTGACAATTATTAAATTAGAAAATCTCTCTAAGCCTGCTTTATTTGTTTGGAGTGTGGCACAGCTCTCAGCTCATTCATTTAATGTCTGTGGGATGGCTAAAAAGCCCCATTTTAAAAAAAAAGACAAAGCTCAATTGTGCCTTATGTCTCTTTTGCTATACCAAACATTAGAAACCAAAAGCCTGCCTCTGTTAGTGCAAACGTCACTAACCTCACAGCTCTACATAATATGCATATGGCCCCTGCAATGAAGGAACTAAGAAACCCTCCCGGAGGTGACAAAATTATATTTTCTGGGCATAGGTGCCAAATCTTCTGCTGAGATGGGTGGCATTCTCTTCTCTTCATTCCAGGATAAGATACTTGTTTAGGTGAGTACTGGCCGACGCTGACTTTCTGTTCAATTGTGGTGGCTGTTGTCCCCACTGGCTCAGAGATAACTTGTGTATTGTTCCAACTGCAGATGTTTTTTCACAAAGGTCCTTGGAAAACAGAACCATCGGACAACTTCACAGATCTTTCAAATGGCCCTGATTCAAAGTACTTCAGCACGTTTTTTAAACCACCCCTTTTTAACAAATGATTTAAAATATTCTTAACCACTTCAATGATTCACAAGTTGTAGCTGTATTTCAGCAAGGCCCAGAGGTGCTTCAAAACCTAAGCGCTCCAACATCCCAGACACTAGCCACTATGCAGACATATTAAGTAGTAACAGCTCTTGCCCTGAAGAATTTAACATCTGAAACATACAGCAGGTGGGGGGAAATGCACAAAAGAGATGCTTCAATTCATACAAGAGCCAAGCTGGGAAAATCAGTCCACCGTAACTCCTACTCCAGCATCTTTTCACATCTGTTGCAACTGGGGTCCATCAACATCAAAAAAGCTGATTATCTGCATTACATGTTACTGATAAGAGGCAAGAAGTTACCATCAGACATTTTTCTCTTAGGTTTTATCCATTAGGGTCTACTTGATTTTTATAGATGTAATATTTAATAGAATGTAACAAATATATTAATAGAATATAGCAGAAATTTAACATAGATCCTAACATGCATTCAGACTCTGAGCCAGTTTCAAGTTACTAGCTATATCAAGGCTAGTGCTTGAAGTCCATGTAGCCCTACTAAGATAAATAAGACTCCACATACAAGGAAGGATGTCATATGGATAAGAGTTACATGAGCATGCTATGATTCAAGAAGAGGAAAGAATAAAGAAAATAGTGACACTTTAAACACAAATGAATAAATAACATTAACAAGTCATATGAACTACTTGTTCAGCCTTCCTACTATTTTAGAAGCTAAGGGAATTGTATGCATCTGGACAGGATTGTTTCCCTTTGCTCTCTCCCACACTCTTTCCCACTAAGCTTCTAGTTGAACTTTGACAGTTCCCATAACCTTACTCACCTCTGCCGGATGCTGAATTATATACAAGCAGGTGGAGACCTTTAGAGGATGTACTGGCAAATACGGACACAAGCATACCTTCTGTGGACGGCTGCAAAGAAAGGGGTGGGGAGAAAAACAACACATACACAATTATATATAGTGAATTACGCAAACCTTCCCATTTCCCAGGAGAGGTTAGCACTTTCCTGTACAACACAGTGTATTCAGACAAACCTATTTACAGTTTTTGCTGCTGCTTTTGCTATTAATTGCAAGTTTTTATGCAAAAAGTCTGTCTGAAAGAAGTATTCACAAACATCCCCTAGGAAGATCAGTTAGGATTAAATACTTTGAGAAAGATGTGTTTCCATTCTTGTCCAGAGAAAAAAAAAAATGATGACTGTACCTGGATCAAGGAAGGAATCAAATCATTAAAGGGATCTAGACCTTCCACCTCAAATAAGGGAACCAACCAAAAATGGGGAAGAAGACTAATGTGTATACATTAGACATACTATATACTGACCATATACTTGATATACTTAATTTCATACTGTCAGCATGTTTGGAACCGTCCTTCTTTGTTTCTACAATTCCTGCATCAGAAACTTACAAGCAATATTTGAACTCTGCTGAACTCCATGTACTGCTGGTGTAAGGTGTTGTGGAAGAACAGCTTTATGAAGAAAGATTTGTATTTTTTTAACTTACAATGTGAAGGGACTGTACGTCCACGCACTAAAAGACGCAAAGAACGAGGTACAAAGAGTAGTAGAGGAAATCAGAGACAATATTACAAGAAAGTAACATCATTAAATTACGGAGTAAACCAACTAAAACACATATTTAAAAACATCTGTTTAAGAGTATATTTTAATTGCCCATTTGGAAAAACATTTTTCTAGTATTAAGATTATGACCAGGGTAATTTTTTTAAATTGGTAAACAAATCTGTGAAGAAAATTCTTCTCCTTGAAGTTAAAAAGCTGAAACAACAATCCCTTGTGCCAGCGGGATCCAACTTTTTTGGCAGGCATGCCACAGATTAGCCCTCTACTTTTCCCCGAGTGCCATTTTGAACTTTTCATCTGCCTGACCCACTGCTCTGCTTTCTGCTCCCTGGTCTGTACTCTCTCCTGATCTACTGTTCTCCTTTTTGCTTCCTGCCCTAGCTGCTACCAAGTTGCCCATCCCCTCTCTGACCTTCCACGTGCCACACACACAAGCCACCCCTGCTTTGTGGTACACCCTGCAACCTTTTCTTACCACAATCTGACTGCATATTTTGCATTGTGTATCTCTCCACTGCATATGTAACATGACTGGAGCTAGCCAGCATCCAACACTAGCAGTGTTAGCAGCTGACAGCTTGTGCCAATTCTTGCTTTAGTCCATACCTTTTGTCAAGCAAACTGATATTTAAAATACTACCACATTCAGTGAAGGCAAAGTGTGAATGTAAACTAAATCAGTGGCAACACTTGTGACATTCAGTCACTGGTGACTGGTGCCACCCCAGCAACCAGTCAGCAATCAGTTATGAATTCACCTGATTGGTTGTGCAGGTCAAAACAAAACCAAAGTTAAAATTCTTGTGTCATTTCTGACTGCAAGTGAAAGCAAAACCAAAACTAAAACTTTGATTATTTTTTGTTTCACTTTCAGTTCAGCAAACACACAGAGCAGAACAATGTAAGGGAAGTACACGCTATTGGGTATTGTCTTTACATTTTTACAGGTATTCCAATAAAAATAATTTCTTTCCACATAAAGCTTTGAATGTGTTTGAATATAACATTTAAACCACATTAAGTGTGCTGTATTTAATTTTTTTCCTAATCAAATATTTCAGTTCAAATACTTGTGGCTACTGGGATAATAAATTAACATGGGGGTACTTTTTTAGTTTTGTTTACTAAATATAAGTCAAATAAACATGCAAAATTGGATCACACTCTATTTAGGGCATTAGAAAATTCAAACTTTTCTGGAAAACCCACATCTCTGGTGGCTATGTCTTCCTTTTGAAGTTTACTCTTGTAGTCCTTCATGCAAAGGCCTAAAGTCAGTCCTCACATTCCCTAACTTAGGCCTCTCCTCTAGGATCCAACTACACTGAAATAAGCAGTCTAAGTCCAAAAATACCCTTAAAATATTCTATCAACTGGAAAAGTACTAAATCATTTTCAGATGTTCTGAGTAAATATCTCAAACACACAAAAAAGGAGATATCTTTTTAATAATTTGGGGCATTCTGTATTAATGTTTTTGAATATATTTCTATAGGCTGTTTTTTCTCCAGAGTAATGAACATTGCCTTATCAATTTGTCTTATTTAAAGATGCATCTGTTTGGTGTGTTCAGAAGAGTTGTGTAAAATAAAGATAAAATCTCAATACAATTTGACAAAGTGGGACTGCAAATACTTGCTGTGTTTGTCTTGAGTGTTTGACACAAGCTCGATATCTTTTTTCTCATAATTTAATGTTCTTTCATTTCCTGACAATTCAATTTTCTGTTAAGTATGAATTCTTAATTTCTGTCAGATGTTATCAAATTCATAGCATTAATAAAGAGAAGCTGTTAGTTAAGGTTTTCCAATTATGACATTTTCTATATGGCAGAGATTAAGTTATGAATACCCATTGTAAACTACCATAGGCCTGAAGCTGTTTAATGATGGGATAGTATAGAGGTGCTTGCATTCAACTGACTACAGTTTGCCTAAGAGAAGAACAGGCAAAGAAAAGGATCAGGAAAGAGAATATCATTTTAGAAAACTCAAAGACCGTTTGAAAAAAAAACTGTAAATGTTACAAGGTTGCCTCCAGCGCATTTACTGGTTTGATGATAGGTTAATCTTAGAGAAGGTAAAGGATATATATGGAATAAGAACAGGAATATGAATATTAATTAGAATAGAACCTGTTAGGAATGCTTAATTTTTTTTTCATCTTATTTAGTAAGTTTTCCAATATTTTAGCCAAATGGTGGAGTATAAAAACTGGGTCCACTTTGGTATTTTTCCTCTTCAGTCTCGAACTACAGTTCTTACTGAATTGCCCACTTGCAAGTGTACCTGGTTAATGTTACTTAGCAACTTTGTTTTTGAAACTTAGGTAAAAGAGTGCTTCCCTTAATGGGCTGGCCTCCTGCTAGAGACTTTTTAAGACCTTAAGACTTGTAAAAGTTAAGGTTAAATTGCTTGCAAATATTGATAAGATTATTATGCCTTTAGATAAATGTGCATTTTATAAATTTTGATCACTTGCTAGATATGCCTTATCTATACTGTTTAGTCATTTATAGTAATTGAATTTCCTATTAAAATTTAGATGTTATTATATTGTACATATTTAATTTTGGTGGGACTGGCTTTGCAAACTCTCCTTGGTTCTCAGAATCCATCTGAGGGGTCAACACCACTACATAAATCAGCTTTCAAATTAGTAAATTCCTGACTTCAATTCAAAGGGCTTCATTGTTCACTAGTTCTTACAGGCAGAAGGAAATAATACTGAATAAATAAATTCTGACCTCAGGATGTTTACTATAATGAAGTCTTCTAGATACAGTTTACTTTATTTTCAGATCTCGTTTTTCTAAAAAATCTGTTGCTACCTTTTTGTATCCTTTCCAACACTTGAATGTATTTTTGGTTGGTAAACTTTGTTAACCTTGTAAAATAAGGAAGTTTAAAGAAAGCATGCATTTTCAAAACAGTACGAAAATCAACCTTATCCATAACTTGATTTGTGGAGCACAAAGCACTGCAAACAGTACTTTTCAATATAACTTAATTACTTACACATGTATGTACATCACTTATCTTTAAGCACCCATTGACATGCCTAATTATTTTAATTATGTACTTGTACTACCTCACCCTGGGGTTCACACACTTCTTTCTATACTTTCACTTTAGTGCCTAATGGTTATTGTTCTTTTTAGAGAAAAACCTTTTAAATTACAGGCATGCAAGTTTTGGAGTTCCTCATAGATCAGGATGGGAGAGGAAAGCCAGGGGGGCTTCCCTACAGGGCAGAAGGGTAAAATTCTGTTCGAAAGCCAAAACAGCGGCCAGCATAAAGGCTGGCTAAACAGTCATTAATTTTGTATTTTTGCCTTCTTTTTCAATGTGTTAGTACATCTGACTAGGAGTTTCAATCTTGGGCTTTACTTGCAAACAAAAACATAATTTTCTTCCCTCTTTAGACCAAAAGGAGTGATTTGGGTCAAGCTCTGTGACAAGAAATCTTGAAAAGTCTCTCTCACTACCTAAGTCATGCCACGTAGCAATGATTCTTTTCGTAGGGTAACAAGGAAACACTGGCATGTAGACCAACCACTGGCAAATGGGAACCTTCTTTAGAAGTATGGTTAATTTTATATTAGCATCTGTTTAACCATAATTTTAACTTAGTTGAGATTTTACTAAAAAGAATGAGCAATTCTCCTAGCATCTGGAAAATTATCCTGAGGCCTTTCCAGACTGTGATGTCAACTCTAGGTGCATTTACGCAAATATGATAGTTTAATGGTTTTAATAACAGTTGAAATGTTCAGAAAGGTGTGAAGGCCTCAGACAGTTTGTCCAGTTGGTTTAAATATGTGCATTATGTAGTAAAAAAGTAATGTTAAAATTCACACTAATATTTTGTTCAGATACAAAGACACTATGCTGAGCTTATCATTCAAAGACTTTCCCAACAGGGCTGAGTCCACCCAATTGACGTTGCCTTTGTCCGGTGTCCAGCCTGCTGTGACTAGCAGGTGTTGGGGCAGGGACACTGTAGAGGTGAAAGTGCAGGAGACCAAATAGTTTGGTATCCTGCAGACCTTTCCAACAACTTCTGTAAAGTCCTCTCACAAATAAGATCTAGGTATGCCCCCAACTTGATTATGCTCATTTTTATCCCAATTTTCAACCTGTTGGAAGATATTCACAGCTCTTTAAAACAGACAACGTTCTGGGAATGCAAATATATGTACTTTTTTGGGTCCTTCCTGATGCCTCCCACAGGCAATTATGTGGAATTGTAGACATGTAGCTTTTTTCTAAATATAAACATTAAAAAGCCACTATAATTAATTCTGGCATTTTTTTTC